TTTGCATTATTTTCAAAGTTTGACCAAAACAGTCAAAACTTTGTGTTTCCTCATTATAATCTGATTTGAGTTGAAAACTGGTATTTAACGTAGCGGGCGATATGCATTCCTTAAAGGGAGGCCTTTGAATGGCATGAATCAACGGCCAGCGTTGCTCTCGGAGGCAGGCGGTCGGTTCTCCAGTGCATCTTGTGAACTAAAACTATTTTTATTTTTTGTATTTATGGGCTAAGGCAGATTCCTGCCTGAGCTAATGTGAGCTTGTTTACTTGCACATTTGAAGGTCCTGATTAAGTTTAGGATTCTTACCATTTGAATTGTGATTAATCTGCAAAAACTCTGTTTTATAATGGAAATAATTCAGTGTTAAAATAATACAAGTGTTAGTCAGGCCAGTTAACAAGTTTTAGATTAGTTTGTTTCTCTTGCCATGCTAAAATTGTGTTTTTTGTTGGCTAATATGGCGTACATGTAAACAAAGTGTCTAAAGTTTTACCGTCCATCTTCCATTTGAATGCACTCTGAATCCAAACCAAAGCATTTGCTTTAAGGTAGCTGCTTTAAAGCCGCATGGGACGTTTTCTTTACTGCAAATATGCAAAGAAATGCTTTGTTGTAGTCTGATAGCAACTGTTAAATATATTTTTATAGGATTGTTATCCCTATCCAGCACGTTATCATGCCGGGAACTATGCACCTGCTTCATATTTTGCTTTTGTTATTTCAAACAGATTTTAAAAGGGTTCAAATGCAGAGCTTCAAAAAGGCCATAATACAACGTACGTGCTCCGTGCTTTTACTCCCACAGCATCAAGCATGAAAGAAACGGCGAAGTAGGATCTGTTGCTCTGATAAAAGAGCTGGAATCCTTGAAACTAAACACTACAAAGCTCTCGTCTAACTTGGTTCGCATGAGTTCCCCGCCGCTGCCTCATTAAGCCTCTTCTTTTGTTTGGGTGTATTAATAGCTCAAGTGGAGGAAGAGGAAGAGTGTCCTATATCGAGCTCTCCTCTGGGAGCTCTGCTCCATTAACTGATGTGCTGTGCGGCTGTTGGTTCCAAAGAAACCTCCGTACTCCACGCTCTGAGGGACCGAGCTCTTTGTAGGGAACACAACGGTGCAGTACAGCCAAGGAACGGATCACCTCGGTCTTATGGGGCTGATTCTCTGACTAGTTCACCCCCCCAGTACCTCTTTGTCTTTGATGAGCAGCGTGTTTCTTACAAGAAAAACAAAACAGTTAGTTTTCTCTGATGCAATTCTTGCAACATTGTCGTGTGTTTTCGTGAGTTTTTGCGTTGCGTTCGTCTGAAAGCATCAACGAGCTACACCGTTCTGACGCTGCTGGTTTCAATAGCTTTGTGTGTTTGTGATGAAGAGACTGGCTTAAATTGTTTCTGTGCTTCTGTGCAACAGTAATATCATGTTTTGGGTTGTATGTTGCAGAGAATGCACGGCTTCTCTTTAGGATGCTTTTGTGCAGATGTCCTTGTTTCATTAGTATAAATGTACTAACGGCTGACCGAGGCGCTGAAGTGCCCGGGCTTTTGTCTCACAATGAGCCGTATCACCATGACCCTTTAACGAAGCGCTTCTCCAGCCAGCAGGGGTGGTGCCCTGCGGATACGTGGACTCTAGACCGTGAAGTAGTACAGCTATTTCTGCCTCAGCACAAAAACAGGAATGAGGCCAAACACGAGTTTAATTACTGTCACAGTTTTCTTTGATTCGCTAATAAAGTCTCCGCTTTCATCAACACAAGTAGGTTACAAGAACGTCTTTGACTGGAAGTGAGCAGTGTTCTCAATAAAGCTCTAAATGTTGGACTCCATGTTGTCGCACTTTTTCTGCACCAAACATCCAATAAAAAAACATGTACATTGTCAACTTTTAGCTATGTACTTTTTCATTATACATATATGTATACATACATGTACAGTATGTATATATATGTATATGTGTGTGTGTA